AGCGAGGATTGAACGAGTTCGACCAGGTGTCGGCTGTCGCCGGGATGGGCGGCCGCGCCGGCGGCTGGCCCGTCCGTGACGCTCTGCGTCGCGCTGCGGTCGAGTATGGCTTCCACCCTCACCTTCTCGGGGCGGCCGGCTCCGTCCGGCGGCCGCCCGGCGGCCCGCTTTCGTCCCTCCCGCCGTCGGCGACGGCATCCGGGAGGCCTGACGGCGCGCGGGCCCTCAACGCCGTGGCCGAGAGCGCAGACCTGGGAATATGCAGGAAAGTCCAAGCCGGCGGCGGCGCCGATGCCAGCCTTCCGGCCTTGCGTTCCGGAATGCGGGCGCGGGCGAACCGCCGCGCGGCCTTCCCGGCCACTGGGGTGAAAGAATAGGAGGGGCGGTCGAGGACCGCAACGCCGACCGTGTGAAAAATTTCTTGCCAGGCCGTCCAGCGGTGGATCTGGCCCAGGTTGTCGGCGCCCATCAGCCAGACGAAGTGGACGCCCGCAAACCAGTGCCGCAGCGCGCGCAGCGTCTCGGCCGTCAGCGCGGTGGGCAGCCGCCGCTCCAGTGCGGTGACCCGCAGGCGGGGATGGGCCGCCACCGCCCGCGCGCGCGCCAGGCGATCGGCCAGACGCCCCATGCCGGCGACCGGCTTGAGCGGGTTCTGCGGGCTGACCAGCCACCAGACCTCGTCCAGGCCCAGCCGCTTGAGCGCCTGCAGGCAGACCTGGCGGTGGCCGTCGTGGGCCGGATTGAACGAGCCGCCGAGCAGGCCGATGCGCTGTCCGGCCGCCGGCAGCCGGCCGCCCAGCTCGGCGGCCAAACAGCGGCGCGTGACGAAGGGAGGCGGCCGCAGCCGGGGTGACGCCATGGACGATCCAGCGGACAGGCTCGGGCTCGGCCCTAGGGCCGCACCTGGCCCTGGCCGCGCACCCGGTACTTGTAGATCGTCAGCTCGTTGGCGCCGACCGGCCCGCGGGCGTGCAGCCGCCCGGTGGAGATGCCGATCTCGGCGCCCATGCCGAACTCGCCGCCGTCGGCGTACTGGGTCGAGGCGTTGTGCATGACGATGGCGGAGTCGACCCGGTTGAGGAAGGTCTCGGCCGCCGCCGCGTCGTCGGTGACGATGGCGTCGGTGTGGTGCGAACCGTGGCGCGCGATGTGGTCGATCGCCTCCTCCAGGCCCGCGACCGTCTTGATCGCCAGGACCGGCCCCAGGAACTCCGTGTCCCAATCGGCCTCGCTGGCCGCCGCCACCGCGCGGGTCAGGCGCTGCACCACCGCGTCGCCGCGCAGCTCGCAGCCGCGCTGCAGCAGGTCCTCCAGGATCGGCGGCAGCAGCGTCTCGGCGACGCTGCGGTCGACCAGCAGGGTCTCGGTGGCCCCGCAGATCGCCGTGCGCCGCATCTTGGCGTTGACCGCGATCGCCTTGGCCATCTCCGGATCGGCGGCGGCATGGAGGTAGGTGTGGCAGTTGCCGTCCAGGTGCGCCAGGACCGGCACGCTGGCCTCCTGCATGACGCGCTCGATCAGGCCGCGCCCGCCGCGCGGGATGATCAGGTCGAGATGCTCATGCATGCGCAGCAGGTGGCCGACCGCGGCGCGGTCGGTGACCGGCGGGCGCTGCAGGCAGGTCTCGGGCAGCCCGACGGCCGCCAGCCCCTTGTGCAGCGCGTCCAGGATCGCGCCGGAGGAGTGGAAGGACTCCGAGCCGCCGCGCAGGATCGCGGCGTTGCCCGCCTTGAGGCAGAGCGCGCCGGCATCGGCGGT